AAATAATCATTTTCAATTTTACGAGCAAGTTCATTTACTATATTTAATTGATCCATAATTATATCTTGTGTTATTTTAACATAATAGAAATTTTCAAAAAATATATATATAAATATATATAACTATTTTATAAAATAATAATGATAATAAATTATTAAATACAGTACTTATATAATTATTAAATAAAACTAATTAAAACTGTAACGTTGGAAAAAATAAATACAAAATTAATAAATAACTTCAATATGTAGTTTTTTTAATCAGACTATACGTCAATTTACAGGTATTATCATATAATTTATTATAATAATTATTTGTAATATTATATATAAGGTTATATATAAATTAGATAATAAATATATATATATATATTATCAAATAAAACAATTTCATAAATAATAATAACTTATTTCTTATATGATAAAAATATTTTTTTTGTGTTACTATTTTTATTTAAATGGTTTTAAGATTATTTTTTTATTTTCATTTAATAAATTTTAGCAATTTTTTGTGCAAAACAAAAAAACAGTTAACTTATTTTTAATAATTTTAATAAATTTAAACAAGTTAAGTAATTTTTATTATATAGCCAAATCATTAATATATAATTTAAGAAATATTTTGTTACAATTTAATTAAATATTTTGAGTGTGAATAAAATGATGATTCACTTATTATTATTATTACCAATTAAATTATTATCAATTTTAGGTAATGAAATATATATAATATTATATATGTATACCTGTATTAAAGTACAAAGTTTTTTTGTACATCCATAACTAAGATTAATTTATTTCATAATATATTATTTTATTTATAATTATTTATTAAATATATATATATCTTACTAGGATCAATTTTAATATTACTTATTTAAGTGTTATTTTATAATAATGAAATATATAAAATATATGACATATTATTTTATAATATTTTTTTATATTATAATTTTATATATCGCTAATAGTAATAATAATTCAAAGTCTTTGTTGAAATATTTCAAAGCTTATGTTATAAATAAAATACTATTAGTTATATAATACATACATGAGTTTCAATAACTTTACAAAATATAGCTTTAGTTTTTTTTAAGTAATTTATATACTTTTTTAAAAAAAATTGTGTAATAAAAATAATTGTTAAATAATTTTTTTTTTATAAAATAAAAGTTAAATATTCTAATTTTTGTTTTCGTATTTATTATAAAGTAATTATAATATTGCAATTGATTTCTATTTTTATCACTCAATATAAAAAAAATTATGATTTTTTGATTTAGAAAATAATAGTTTTAAAAATATAATAATAGTATTCCATATTATAATTTACAAAATAAATTGTTTTAAAAGTTTTATTTACTATTCGAGCACATTTACTAACCTAAAATTAAATACCTTGCTTAACCTTTTTATAATAATAATAAAATAATTTATGATTAATAATGTACTTGTAGTCATAGATTTATGTGAAATCACTTATATTTTATCATGTAATTTATTATTATTATTATACAATAATAATACAAATTTATATACAGGTTAAATATAAAGTGTATAGAGGTCAGTTTAGTAATATAGTTTTAAGATTATAAGATAAAATTAATTTTTATGAAATTATTGGCATTTATTATATGTATAAATAAAATATTAATTTTTTTATATTAATATTTCTATTAATGTATCAAATATTATTAATCAATCTATTCAATAAATTATATTATTTATTATTATATCAATAATTGATTTATTTAAATAAATAATAATTTTTATATATTTTAAAAATTTAAAAAATTGTTAAAGTATTAATATTAATATTAGTATTAATATTATTATTTATATTATTCCTGTAATTGTTTTACATTTATAAACTATAAATATAAATAATTTGATTAGATTAATAAATATATAGATATATATTAAAAGAATAAAAAGTTGTGAAATTCACCTAAAAAGTTATTAAATATTATTTTGTTATCTTTATTATATATTTTTTATTATTTAGTTAGAGATTGTATAAATACACTTTTATTTTATTAGTTATAGCTAAATACTAGTGAAATTATAACATAATATAATTATAAAAATTTATCTCAAATCAGCTATATTTTTAGTGTAATAATTTAAAAAAAAAATATATTTATTAATTTTTATTTAATTAATTAACAATTTTTTAAAACAATAATTGTATATTGTATAACCATATTTTATACGGTTATATAAATTATGATGGCTGAAAATTGTTCAACAATTAATGAGCTAGACAGTGAATTGGAAAATCATTATATGAATAGATCGTTTGACCATGATACATTACGATTAATTTGGTACGGGTCAATTTTCACAAATTTACCTGGTTAAACATAGAAACAATGATAAACAGTATGCTATTAAAAAAATAGAAATTACTAGTAAGACTATAAATTAGATTATATATATATTTTTATAACATATTATTATTCGTATATACACAAAAGTATTAGTAAAAATTAAAATAATACTAATTACTAATAGTAGTAAAAAATACTAATTATTAATAATATTAAATAATAATAATTATTATACAGATATCATAACTAATATCAAACAGAAATACAATAGTATTAAACGCAGTATGAAATTGTGGTCACAGATGGACAGCGAGTGTTTCGTACGATACAACTACTCGTGGCTATCATTAGATGATAATAAATACTATATGAATATACAAATGGATTTGTGTTGGTATTCATTGGATGAGTCTATCAAACAAATGCACAGTTATTTCAAGGATACCAAACCGAAAACTGGTTGGCCATCGGTTGGCTATTATATGGCATCGGAAATGTTTGTCGAAATATTAGAGGCAATCAATTATATACACAAACAGGATATTATTCACCGAAGTATTAAACCGTCGAATATATTGATTATTAATAACAATAATCATAAGTTTATCAAATTGGCTGACTTTGGTTATGCCGCTGAATACGAATCCAGTTTACAATCTTATACATTGATATCTATGTTATTTTATCTTTTTTTTTTAGTGATAATGATTTATCTAAAAAACTAACCGTAATAAAAAAATTTATAGAAAAAATGAGAATTGATAAATCACATAAAAGGCCAAAATGTTGCAAAATATTGGATCAAATAAAAAATCTTCCCATTAATCCAGAGATACCATAAAGTTTAACGGAATTGCTGAACTGGTTTACATAGTCGAACACTTTTCGAAGATCCTAATATATTCATTATATATATTGAGTGTAACAAAGTTATTAAGTTTATAAAATCAATTATTACTTTAAAAACAAATAATTAAAATTACAATTGTTTAATCTATTGAATTAACGAATATAATAATCTAATTTATTAAGTTTATAAATTTAATTAAAAAATTGATTTTCTAACAAAACTTTTTATTAATTTAATAATTTTTATATTTTTCTTATAATCTTTATAAATCATGACTTTTTTAACATAATATATTTTATTCTATATATGATTGTCCAATTAATAATAATTAATATTAATTAATTTTATGCAAAAATAAAATTAATAATTTTTTAAATAATATTTATATTTATATTTTATTTTATTTAACTATAATTATGTAATATATATATATAACTATATGATAAATATTTTTATTAAATCTCGTAAATAAATTTTGTAATACTTAAGCCAACACTCAGAATATTATCAAATATTGTATTTCAATATGAAATGTTATCTAAAAGTATAAATTATTACTGCATATAATACTTATAAATATATATATATTTATATATTAAATTTAACATTAATTTGTAAAATATTTTTTTTATTTTTTTTATTTTAGTAAGTACAATATTTATTTTCACACAGTATTTAATAAATAAAGATTTGTTAATTTTGTCATAATTTATACAGTATTATCTAATTTTTATATAATTTAGATAATAAAATATTTATTATAGAAAAATTAATTCAAATTACAAATTCAATCAAAAAACAATATCTAAAGAATTATATATATATTTTAAATATATATATATATATATTCATAATTAAATACATTTATTACTAGGAATAATGATAAAAGTTATGTTATTGTTATAAAAAAAATATTTTGTTATTATTATTAATAGTATTATAATATTTATTTTAAAGTTACATAAAAGCTTAAAAAAACATGACTAATTAAAAAATATTTTAGATTAATAAAGAAATAATAATAAATATTTTATCTATTATTGTATTACTAGTAATATAATAAAACAGATATATATTATATTTAAAGTATTGATATTATTTTTTGAATATTTTTATATACGTTAATATTAGAGATGGGTAAATAGTAAGTTTCTTAAAAATTTCAGCTGAAAAAGTTTCTAGAAAATTTCTCAAAAAAATATCAATTAAAATATTAATTTCAAAAATTTGCCTAACCGCGCCTGCTACTTTCTATAGAGATCCCTATATATATATATATATAGTTATTGTTATACCATATAATAATGAGACAAAATACTATTTTATTTAACTTTATACAATACTATATATTGTAATAATATTTGTATACAAAATGGGATACCCATATATATATATATAAAATAGTTATAATTATTTAATAATAATTAGTTTTTTAAAATTTTAATAATCAAAATATTAATAATTATATTATTTAACTTATGTTATTACATGATAATATTTATCGATGAAAAAATTAACATTGTTATCATATAGCTAGAAATTTCTCTATTATTTAATAAATTTCCCTATTTTCCAACACTAGTTAATAATCATTTAGTTAGATTAACAATTAATGATAAATAAAAAAAAGTATAATAAATTATATTTTATTAAGCTATAAGTTAGTGTGTATACTTCACTATACACGTAGTCATTAATAAACAAAATAAAAAAATAAAATTTTTATACATTGATTAATTTTTAATAATGTTAATAATAGTGAATAAAAAACAAATAAATTGTAAATTGTTTTAATTAATTAAAATTAAAATTAAATTATAAATGGACCAGGAGATAAATTCGGCTGAAATAGACAATGGGTATATGATGAAAACATTTAAGCATCATGATGCTATTACCGAAACTGTACCGGGCAAGTTTCTATATTCAAAAATCTATCTGTCCAAACATAAAGCCAATGATAAACAATATGCAGTGAAAAAAATCTGCATTAATGGTTTGTATTATAATAAATATTATAAACTAATATAATGTAAAAAGATTATTACATAAATAATTTAAAATTATATTTCGATTAAAATTAATTTTTTTTTTAAAATAAAGAAATGCCAGAATTTAATGGAAATAATATCAATCAGATATATAATACAATAAAACGTGGAATAAAATTGTGGTCGCGATTGGATTCAGATTTTTTTGTCCGATACTATTATTCGTGGTTATCGTTGGAAACAAATAAATACTATTTTCACATTCAAATGGATTTATGTTGGTATTCATTGGATGAGTCTATCAAACAAATGCACAATTATTTCAAGGATACTAAACCTAAAACTGGTTGGCCATCGGTTGGCTATTATATGGCTGGCGAACTGTTTTCGGAAATATTAGAGGCAATCAATTATTTACATAAACAAGGAATTATTCACCGGAGTATTAAACCGTCGAATATATTGATTATTAATAACAATAATCACAAGTTTATCAAATTGGCTGACTTTGGTTACGCCACTGAACACGAAACCAGTTCACAGTCGCATACAATGCTTGCGATTGATGATAAATATATGGCACCGGAAGTCAAACGTAGCCGAAAATATTGCATGAAATCCGATATGTATAGTATCGGCGGTATTGCACAGGACTTGTTTAATGTCGATATCAATAGGTTCGTATGAAATATATTAGTTTTTTATTAATATATATTAACGATTAATTTTTTTCAATAATTAAAAAACCTTGATTATAATAGTAAAAACATTTTAATAATAATAAACCCTAAATTAAAATTGATATATAATATATTTAATAATTATTACAAAATGTAGTCTAAATGATTTTTAATATTTAAATATTTATTTACTATTAAAATGACTAATTATTATTAATACTAATAGTCAATAACAACAACAACAAAAATTAATTAATTTTCAAAAAATAATTTAATGGTTTTAATTTTTAATAATATGATTAATTTTCTAGTAAATTCAAAAATAACCTTGATTATAATAGTAAGCAAATGTTGGACACATGTATTGTACTATTAAGCGGATCGAGTAATGAGAGACAAACGTGTGATTAATAATAATAATAAATGGTTTAAAGATTATGATTTAGTTCGGGAAATGGTTACAAATATGATTAATATCGGTCATATATATAATCACCATGATCAATTTGTTGAGTATTTTTTGAAAAATAAAACAACACAATATTTGCCAACTGAAACATTGACCATGATCAAACTATCTAATCAATTTACCGATCAAAATAGTAATATATATTTAAATATAATTTATAAAAGTTCTATTATTTATTTATATATATATATATAAAATTTAACTTTTATTAAAACTTTTCATTATTCAATTGAATATAATAATAATTAATTTTTTCAAATAAAAATTAATTTAGTTGATGAAATCGATGGACAATTATCACAACAATTAGTTTATAAGCCGGGTTATTACAATGATGCATTTACTCAAATTGATGGTATGGGTAATGGTGTTTATGGGGACGTATATAAAGTGTGCGATAAAATTCAAAATAAATTCTATGCCATCAAAATCATAAAACTATCAGGTAATCTGTTTAGTAGTAGTAATAGTAGTAATAGTAGTAATAGTAGTAATAGTAGTAATAGTAGTAATAGTAGTAATAGTAGTAATAGTAGTAATAGTAGTAATAGTAGTAATAGTAGTAATAGTAGTAATAGTAGTAATAGTAGTAATAGTAGTAATAGTAGTAATAGTAGTAATAGTAGTAATAGTAGTAATAGTAGTAATAGTAGTAATAGTAGTAATAGTAGTAATAGTAGTAATAGTAGTAATAGTAGTAATAGTAGTAATAGTAGTAATAGTAGTAATAGTAGTAATAGTAGTAATAGTAGTAATAGTAGTAATAGTAGTAATAGTAGTAATAGTAGTAATAGTAGTAATAGTAGTAATAGTAGTAATAGTAGTAATAGTAGTAATAGTAGTAATAGTAGTAATAGTAGTAATAGTAGTAATAGTAGTAATAGTAGTAATAGTAGTAATAGTAGTAATAGTAGTAATAGTAGTAATAGTAGTAATAGTAGTAATAGTAGTAATAGTAGTAATAGTAGTAATAGTAGTAATAGTAGTAATAGTAGTAATAGTAGTAATAGTAGTAATAGTAGTAATAGTAGTAATAGTAGTAATAGTAGTAATAGTAGTAATAGTAGTAATAGTAGTAATAGTAGTAATAGTAGTAATAGTAGTAATAGTAGTAATAGTAGTAATAGTAGTAATAGTAGTAATAGTAGTAATAGTAGTAATAGTAGTAATAGTAGTAATAGTAGTAATAGTAGTAATAGTAGTAATAGTAGTAATAGTAGTAATAGTAGTAATAGTAGTAATAGTAGTAATAGTAGTAATAGTAGTAATAGTAGTAATAGTAGTAATAGTAGTAATAGTAGTAATAGTAGTAATAGTAGTAATAGTAGTAATAGTAGTAATAGTAGTAATAGTAGTAATAGTAGTAATAGTAGTAATAGTAGTAATAGTAGTAATAGTAGTAATAGTAGTAATAGTAGTAATAGTAGTAATAGTAGTAATAGTAGTAATAGTAGTAATAGTAGTAATAGTAGTAATAGTAGTAATAGTAGTAATAGTAGTAATAGTAGTAATAGTAGTAATAGTAGTAATAGTAGTAATAGTAGTAATAGTAGTAATAGTAGTAATAGTAGTAATAGTAGTAATAGTAGTAATAGTAGTAATAGTAGTAATAGTAGTAATAGTAGTAATAGTAGTAATAGTAGTAATAGTAGTAATAGTAGTAATAGTAGTAATAGTAGTAATAGTAGTAATAGTAGTAATAGTAGTAATAGTAGTAATAGTAGTAATAGTAGTAATAGTAGTAATAGTAGTAATAGTAGTAATAGTAGTAATAGTAGTAATAGTAGTAATAGTAGTAATAGTAGTAATAGTAGTAATAGTAGTAATAGTAGTAATAGTAGTAATAGTAGTAATAGTAGTAATAGTAGTAATAGTAGTAATAGTAGTAATAGTAGTAATAGTAGTAATAGTAGTAATAGTAGTAATAGTAGTAATAGTAGTAATAGTAGTAATAGTAGTAATAGTAGTAATAGTAGTAATAGTAGTAATAGTAGTAATAGTAGTAATAGTAGTAATAGTAGTAATAGTAGTAATAGTAGTAATAGTAGTAATAGTAGTAATAGTAGTAATAGTAGTAATAGTAGTAATAGTAGTAATAGTAGTAATAGTAGTAATAGTAGTAATAGTAGTAATAGTAGTAATAGTAGTAATAGTAGTAATAGTAGTAATAGTAGTAATAGTAGTAATAGTAGTAATAGTAGTAATAGTAGTAATAGTAGTAATAGTAGTAATAGTAGTAATAGTAGTAATAGTAGTAATAGTAGTAATAGTAGTAATAGTAGTAATAGTAGTAATAGTAGTAATAGTAGTAATAGTAGTAATAGTAGTAATAGTAGTAATAGTAGTAATAGTAGTAATAGTAGTAATAGTAGTAATAGTAGTAATAGTAGTAATAGTAGTAATAGTAGTAATAGTAGTAATAGTAGTAATAGTAGTAATAGTAGTAATAGTAGTAATAGTAGTAATAGTAATTGTAATTATAATAAAAATAATAAATATAATTATAATAATTCTTTTAAAAAATATATAGTTATAAAATACAACAAAAAATATTTATTTAATTTTTTTAAAAAAAGGTGCAACTGATAAAGCAATTAGTTATTTTAGTAATGAAATCAAACATTTAAAACAAGTATCGGATTCAATATATGCTGTCAAATGTCTGGATTCATGGTTGGAAAATAATCAACTATACATCCAAATGGATCTATGTGATTTCAATCTACGTACCTTGATAAATTTTAAACGAAAATTATTAGAAAAAGCATACGATGCAATTGGTGACTACAACGAAATTGATCTGGTTGATTATTCTATATCGTATACAATATTCCGGGAATTGGTTGAATGTTTAAACTATTTGCATGAACAGCAGCCACCGATTATGCACCGGGATATAAAACCGGCAAATATTTTACTAACTATTGAGCCACGTTCCGGTAGATTTGTACGGTTAGGTGATTTTGGTTTGGCTAAAAAACATGAATGTAGCGATATAAGCCATTCCCATAATGTGGGTACACCTAGATATATGGCCCGTGAAGTTATGCAAAGTGGTCAATACAATACCAGTGTCGATGTCTATAGTCTCGGTGAAGTAGCCTATATGCTATTTGATAAAATTGTTAGACCAAGGTTAAATTAAAGTTTTTTTTAGAAAAATATTTTAAATAAATTAATCATGTTCATTTATATATTGTATTAGTGATAAATTGACCGAGATGAACAAACTAATTGATACTATGATCGATACAATAGCAAATAAGAGACCAAAATGTGGGGATATATTAGCAATGATTGACAAACTAGCCATTCAAGCACTGGTATCCCAATCATTGCTTACGTGGCTATCGCTGGCCAATAGTAGCCGCCAATTGTTTGATAATCCCAACTATATTAAAGACTCGACTAATGTAATTGATTTTTTAAAATCATTTATAAGCCATAAATTTACTACTATTAAATAATTAAAAACCAAAAACAAAATAAATGATAAAATACTTAAAGTACATAATTGTTTTTTTTTAAAAAAAAATTACAGCATTTTCATTTATAGAAGTGAAAAATTATTATTTGAAAAAAAACTAAAATAAAGTCTAATTATTTAATAAAATATGTTTAATTGAATAAATACAGTAATTAGTTTAATACGTAAAACAATTTATATAATACATAAATAGTAATATTACATATTATTAATTATTATTAACTTTATTAACAATAAATATGTTATTAAAATAATAAAATATATTATATATTAAATGATAACATTTTATTTAATACAAATTAATATATATTTTTATGTCTATATTCATTGTAGTAACAAATATAAATTACTAATGTTTATAAAATAACAATAGATTCAATTATTTTATAATTTTATTTTTTAATAATTTAAAACATTTTTTTGTTGAAATTAACATTTTTATTTTTCTATGTTTTTATTAATTATAATAATATATTAGTTAAATATAATAATAAATTTTAAAATTTTGAAATAGATTAAAAAAATGAATTGAATGATTAATTGAAAAGTATAATATATGGTACTAAATAATTTAACATTAAAATAATTTTAAATATTACAAATTTTAATTATTACATAAATTCTAATAATTAATAGGTATGGGTAATAAATATATATATAAATATATATATATACTGTATGTCCATTATATCTATAATGTTTTTCTTTAATTAATCTATTAATCTATTAATTAGTTTAAATTTAATTTAAACTCAATAAAAGATTTAAAAAACTTTTTAACATAATTAAAATCATTATTGTTATTAAAAGTTGAAAACAATTCATCATTTTTTCCAGTTAGACATTCAAGTAGTGGTTGCAATAGTTGTTGATTAATTGCCAATTTATTAATTTGGTTTAATATATCGTCACATTTTGGCCGATTATCAGCCATACCATCAAACATACTTACTATCAATTTATTAATTGCATTCAAATTTTCAGTTAGACCGTCACTATAAAAATAAAATATATATTAATATATAAATATCAGGGTTATAGAGAGGCAGTAGGGGTTAAGGGAATAATATCCCCTATTTTGGGATTTTACCCCTCCTTAGACTTTTTGACCAAATGGAAAAAATTGTCGTTTAAAAACGATTAGAAATGACCCCCCCCCCTAAAAAAAGTCTATACCCCACTATAACCCCACCCAAGATTTTTTGAGAATTTTTTAAATTTCACCCCAGTCTACCCTCCCCTAAACTCCAAATCTTGCTTAATCCTGATATATATATATATATATATATTTAGATAAATAAACAAATATATTGTTGTTATTGTAATTATATAAAAAATTTACCAGGATAGAAAATTGCTAGTTAGTCTCGTAAATTTTTTTTTAGACAACTAACCTTGGTTGAATTTGTTCAAATAATATATAAGCTGTTTCGCCCAGACTATAAACATCGACCATTGTATTGTATTGTTTGCCTGTAATAAGTTCCAGTGCCCTATAACCGGGAGTTCCCACACCCTGTGTATAGTTTATGTCGCTGCCATCGTACTCTTTAGCCAAACCAAAATCGGCTAACCTGACAAACCTACCCGATCGCGGTTCAACAGTTAACAATATATTTTTCGGTTTAATATCCCGGTGCATAATCGGTTTCAGTTGACTACTATGCAAATAATCAAGACATTCGACTAGTTCAACAAATATTGAGTAGGATATTAAATAGTCAACCAGATCAATTTTTATATACATTTTAGCCAATTCTAATATTAAACGTTTATAATCGATCAGGGTACGCAGATTGAAATCACCTAGATCCATTTGTATGTATAGTTGATTATTTTCCAGCCACGAGTCCCAACATTTGACTGCATATATTGAATCCGATACTTGTTTTAAATATTTAATTTCTTTACTAAAATAATTGATTGTTGTATTACTTCGATCTATAAATTTATTTTTAAAAAAATAACATAATATTATTTTGTAGAAAAAATTAAAAATAGTTTATATAGTTTGTTTTTAATTTAATTAGATTAATATTATACATTGAAAAATATTTACCTGATAATTCTATTATTTTAATGGCATAGAATTTATTTTCAATATTATCGCACACTTTATAAACATAACCAAAAGCACCTTTACCTAGCTTATTAATTTGCTTAAATTGTTTTTGATAATAACCTGGATTATATTCTAAATATTGTTGTTGTTGCAATTGTCCATCGCATTCATCAACTAATAAGTATTTTTAAAAAATAAAATAATAATAATATATAAAATTTTAAAAATCATTTTAAATATATTTTAAATTATTCTAAAATAAAATAATTTCCAATAATTACTTGGCGATTGAATCGATAATTTTATCATTGTTATGGTTTCAGCTGGTAAATATTGAATAGTTTTATTTAGTAGAAAATATTCAACAAATTGATCATGGTAATTATATTGATGATCAATGTCAATCATTTTAATAATTGTTTCCCGAACTGATTCATAATCTTTAATCCATTTATTATTATTTTTAATTAAGTTATCGCATGTATATCTTTCATTACTTGATCCGCTTAATAGTACAATACAAATGTCTAACATTTGTTTGCTATCATTATCAAGGTTATTTTTAAGTTTCCTATTTTTTAATATAAATATATATTAGTGATAAAAACAAATAATATATATATATCTATATTTGTTATAAAAACAAATAATACCGTATATATATATAAATATATTAATTCTATTTATAATTAATATAAAATTAAAATTTTATTTAGTAAGATCTTAGAGTTAATAAATAATTTTTTTTTAATACAAACCAATTGATATCGACATTAAACAAGTCCTGTGCAATACCGCCGATGCTATACATATCGGATTTTATACAATATTTTCGGCTTCGTTTGACTTCCGGTGCCATATATTTATCGTCAATCGACAGCATTGTATGCGACTGTGAACTGGATTCGTGTTCAGTGGCGTAACCAAAGTCAGATAATTTGATAAACTTATAATTATTGTAATTAATAATTAATATGTTTGTCGGTTTAATACTTCGATGAATAATATTTTGTTTGTGTATATAATTGATTGACTCTAATATTTCGACAAACATTTCCGATGCCATATAATAGCCAACCGATGGCCAACCAGTTTTTGGTTTGGTATCCATGAAATAATTGTGCATTTGTTTGATAGACTCATCCAATGAATACCAACACAAATCCATTTGTATATTGAAATAGTATTTATTATCAGTGAATGTAAGCCATGTATAATAATATCGTACGAAATATTCGGAATCCAATTGCAATCGATAATCTCTACCCCTTTTTATAGCATTATATATGTCTATAATATTGTCATTTTCAAAAATTTTTGTCATTTCTATTAATTAACAAAAAAATAAATAAATTCAAACAATTAAAACAATTTTTGTAATAATTAACTAATTAATTTAAAAAAAAAAAAAATTATAAACAAATATACTGTCGAATTTATTAATAAATTTTAATTTAAAAAAATAAATTTTAAGTATTAATTTCAATTTTCTATTACAAATTTTAATAATTATTATTTAAAATATATATATTTACAGACCATTTATTGATAACTTTTTGATGGCATATAGTTTTTTAGTATTTTGATGTTCAACTAAATAGATTGTCGAAAATTGTCCAGTACAAATTTCTTTAATATTTTGTTGATTAAATGTTTTAATCATATACTTATTGTTGACATCATTATTTAATTCAATATATTGATCCATGGTAATTTAATAAAATTATATATATATATATATATTAAAATATATTTATAAATATTTTAACATTAAACAATGGCTTTCATTTGAATGAATTACATTAAATCACTTATTGTAAAGTAGACTAATATATATATATATATTTATAAAGTATTTTTTATCTTATATTAACATTTAGCTGATAATTATTTATTACTATAAAAATGTGACTCATATTATAGGAATTATTTAGAAAATATATATATAAAAATAATTTAGTAGTAAATATAAAATCATCATAAATTATCAACATTTTATTTTAATTATAGATAAACCTGTATATTATTACTATAGAAAATATAACATTAATACTAATTGTAATTAAAAAATAGGTAAAAATTATACGTAATAACAAATTGAATTGAATAATAAATATTAATATTTATACATTATTTTAAAAAGTTGTATAATTTTATTAATATTTATTAATATAATTTATCATAATTTCTAATTGTTTGTCAATTATATAAATTATTATAAAGTTATTATATTATTATTGAAATTTTTTTTATAATCTTGTATTTTACTTATGATTATACAGATATAAATTAATGTATAAATTATCTAAATTACTCTAAAAATTATGATAAATAAATAAAATTTAATTATTTATTAAATAATGCAAGAAAACATAGACTTATATATATTTAAAAACATTTTATTTTTGCAAAAATACTGAACAAATTTATTATAGTTTTTAATATTTATAAATTTTTAATAAATCAATAAATTTACTTAATTTATAATTTATATTATATGTAATTTTTCTATTGATTAATATAATATTATGAAGTATTTTCATTATTTTCATTATCAAACAATTCCTATTGGTTACTAAATTATAATAATTAACAAATTTAGTTATTATATTATAATAATTATATATTGATATCAATAAATATTTATTGATAACATTTGATATTGAAATACAGTTTATTCATATAATAGGCTGAGTGTTTGCTTAAGTATTACAAAATTTATGACTAAATAAAATCACATATTTTGTAGTTATATATATATATATATATATATAATTCAAAATATAATTATAAATAAAAAATATTATTTGTTCAAAATAAATATTAATTTTATTTTTATTAAATAATTTACAAAATAAACATTATTTTTTTATTAATATTTATAAACTATTTATATTAAACTATATAGTATTGATATTAAAAACTAAACATACAATTTATAAATTCTTTATAATTATTTATTATTGATAATTAATTATATATAATTAATTTAATCGTAAAATTTAAAATCAAATTCAATTAATTAATTTATTAGTAATAAATGATTTTAAAAACTCAATAACATTAGCCGATTCTCTAATATGATTGGGATTATTAGGAAACAATTGTCGACTATTGTTAACCGATAACCAGTTATGATATTTCAAAGCAGCTACCGGTGCTTCAATGGATAGACTATAAATTAATGTCAATAACAGCAAACAAGTGGGTCGTTTATTAGCCATACCGTCAATCATTAATTTTATTTGATTATTCATTGCATTTAATTTTAATGTAAAAGTTTTATCGCTAAATAAATAAATATATATTAAAACAATAAAATTAGATTTTTTTTCTTCATTGATATATTATATATATATATATATATATAGTGAGAGAGAGAGAGAGAGTTTGTAATAAAATATATAAAATTTTTATCCCGGAAACTATTTTCATTTACTTATCTAGTTATAGTGTATAGAAAATTAAAATAAATTGTACTTAATATACTTGATTATATATATATATATATAATTTTTTGATTTAAATTTCATTAAAACATTTAAAAGTAAATTTAAATTTATATATATATATTATTTATCACTATTACTTAAAAAAAATTCAAAAAAAAACATATTTTAAAATAAGATTCAATAGATGATAGGAAATTTCCTAGAAAATTTCCTACAATAGAAAACTTTTGTATAGATAAATAAATAAAAATGAGTAAGGTAAATCCCATTATATAAGTAACTAATTTATAATAATAATAATTATTATTAGCTAACTAACCTTGGTTGAATCTTATCAAATAGTACAAAGGCAACTTCGCCCAGACAGTAGACATCGGCACTGGTATTATAGTGACCACTGTGTCGGACTTCGGGTGGCATATATTTTTCAGTACCAACCAGTTTTGTATGACTTATTTGACTGCCTTCATCCTCTTTGGCCAGTCCAAAATCGGCTAACCTGACAAACCTACCCGAACGGGGCTCAATGGTTAGCAATATGTTTGCCGGTTTAATATCCCGGTGCATAATCGGTTTGGGTTGTTGTTGATGCAAATAGTTTAGACATTCAATCAGTTCCCGAAATATTTCGTACGATATTGCATAATCAACATGATCAATTTCGTTAAATTCATCTAATTGATCATGGGCTATTTGTAATAATTGTCGTTTAAAATCGATCAAGGTACGTAAATTGAAATCACCAAGATCCATTTGTATGTATAGTTGATTATTTTCTAGCCATGAATCAATACATTGGACAGCATATATTGAATCGGATACTTGTTTTAGATATTTGATTTCATTACGAAAATAGATGATCTCTTTTTCAGATACACCTATAGATTATATATTTATTTTAAATTTTTTTATATACTAAAAATTAATTTTATTATATAATCTGCACACGCACACACATAAACACACACACACACACACACATACACATATATATACACATACACACACATATATATATACATACACACATACACACACACATACACACACATACACACACATACACACACATACACACACACACATACACACACATACACACACACATACACACAAATACACACACATACACACACATACACACACATACACACACATACACACACATACACACACACACACACATACACACACATACACACACATACACACACATACACACACATACACACACATACACACACATACACACACATACACACACATACACACACATACACACACATACACACACATACACACACATACACACACATACACACACATACACACATATACACACACACACACACACACACATACACACACATACACACACATACACACACACACACACACACACACACATACACATATATATACACATACACACACATATATATATATATACATACACACATACACACACACATACACACACATACACACACACACACATACACACACATACACACACATACACACACATACACACACATACACACACACACACATACACACACACACATACACACACATACACACACATACACACACATACACACACATACACACACATACACACACACACATACACACACATACACACACATACACACACACATACACACAAATACACACACATACACACACATACACACACATACACACATACACACACATACACACACACACACACATAAACATACTATATTACCTGATAGTTGTATAATTTTGATGGCATAGAATTTATTCTGATTTTTATCGCAAACTTTATACACTTGACCGAAACCTCCCGATCCTATTTTATCAATTTCAGTAAATTGATCAAGGTAATGTCCATTTTTATAGATTGCCACTTGTCCATTTTTATCATCATTATTATTATTATCACTATTGGCTGAAACTATTTAAAAAAACATAAAATTATTATTATTAAAAAATATAATTATTTAATTAAATATAATAACTTAGCTGTTAAAACTGTATATTAAATATTTAATAATATTATAAAAATAATTATATTTTTTAATAATAATAATTATATTTTATATTAATAATAATTATATATTATTATATTAATAATTATTATATAATAATAATAATAATTATATTTTTATAATAATAATAATAATTATATTTTTATAAAAATTACATTTTCTATCCGAAAATTGTCTAGACAATTTAATCATGGTCAATGTTTCAGTTGGTAAATATTGTTTGGTTTTATTTTCCAAAAAATATTCAACAAATTGATCATGGTGATTATATTGATGACCAATTTCAATCATTTTGATAATGTTTTCCCGAACTGATTCATAATCTTTAATCCATTTATTATTATTTTTAATCAAATAATCACATGTATGTCTTTCATTGCTTGAACCGCTTAATAGTACAATACAAATGTCTAACATTTGTTTGCTATCATCATCAAGGTTATTTTTGAATTTACTAATTAAAAAAAATGTTGAGAATTTTTGTTGTAAAAAAAATTTAAGTAAATCTATTATAATAATACAATTAAAATATATTAGATAAATTTTAGGAATAATTTATTATTTTTTGAATAATGTTATATTTAATTATTAATTATTACAGGTATATTATTAATAATAGTTATTTTTTATTAATTTAGCCAACTCACTTTATTATTATATATATATATAGTTAATTAATTAATTAAATATTAAAAATAATAATAAATAACTTAATATAAGGATTTTACAAACCTATTAATATCGTTTTAGTATAAAGTTTTTCAATATATAAAGTTAAATAAAATTATTTAATTTTTGATTAAAATAATTATGAATAAAAATAATTATTTGCTTAATATCTAATAATATACTTACAGTATATATAATAAGTTAATTATTTTTAATCTCTAATTATTTAAATATTAAGATTTGCAATTAATTTGTGATTAAAAATATAAATTTTCTTAATATAATATATACAGACACTTACTATTAATATATATAATAAGTTAACTAATTTTCAATCACTAATTATTTTATTAATAAATATTTTATATTTCATACAAACCTATTGATATCGATATTAAACAAGTCCTGTGCAATACCGCCGATACTATACATATCGGATTTTATACAATATTTTCGGCTACGTTTCACTTCCGGTGCCATATATTTATCATCAATCTTAAGCATTGTATGCGACTGTGAACTCGACTCGTGTTCAGTGGCGTAACCAAAGTCAGCCAATTTGATAAACTTATGATTATTGCGATTAATAATCAATATATTTGTCGGTTTAATACTTCGATGGATAATCTCTTGTTTGTGTATATAATTGATTGCCTCTAATATTTCGACAAACATTTCCGATGCCATATAATAGCCAACCGATGGCCAACCAGTTTTCGGTTTAGTATCCTTGAAATAACTGTGCATTTGTTTGATACACTCATCCAATGAATACCAACACAAATCCATTTGTATATTCATATAGTATTTATTATCATCTAATGATAGCCACGAGTAGTTGTATCGTACGAAACACTCGCTGTCCATCTGTGACCACAATTTCATACCGCGTTTAATACTATTGTATATCTGTTTGATATTAGTTATGCCGAAACCAGTTATTTCTGATGTAATAATAATAATAATAATTAGTATTTTTTAATATTATTAATAATTTGTATTTTAAAATATTATTAATAATTTGCATTTTAAAATATTATTAATAATTTGTATTTTAAAATATTATTAATAATTTGTATTTTAAAATATTATTAATAATTTGTATTTTAAAATATTATTAATAATTTGTATTTTAAAATATTATTGATAATTTGTATTTTAAAATATTATTAATAATTTGTATTTTAAAATATTATTAATAATTTGTATTTTAAAATATTATTAATAATTTGTATTTTAAAATATTATTAATAATTTGTATTTTAAAATATTATTAATAATTTGTATTTTAAAATATTATTGATAATTTGTATTTTAAAATATTATTAATAATTTGTATTTTAAAATATTATTAATAATTTGTATTTTAAAATATTATTAATAATTTGTATTTTAAAATATTATTAATAATTTGTATTTTAAAATATTATTGATAATTTGTATTTTAAAATATTATTAATAATTTGTATTTTAAAATATTATTAATAATTTATATTTTTTAGTATTATTAATAATTAGTATTACTTTTTAACTTTTCTAATACTTTAGTTTATATTTAGACTAATAATTGTAATAATAATAATATGTTTATAAAATAAATAAATATATATATTATATAAGGTTTTTCAGTGTCTTACCAGTAATTTCTATCTTTTTAATGGCATATTGTTTATCATTGTTTCTATGTTTAACCAAATAGATTTTAGAAAATTGACCCGAACCAATTAATCGTAATGTATCATGGTCAAACGATCTCTGCATATAACGATTTTCCAGTTCACTGTTTAGCTCATTATTTATTTCAGCCATCACAATTTACTGTA